CGTAATAACCTTATTATTATACATCTTTTCCTTCCAAGGATACATCATGGGAATGCCGAAATCCAAAAAGTTTAGAACAGAATCAGCGAACTTCTTTGTATGAAGTCCGGTCAAATCCTGGTGGCAGCCATGTTTGTTTTTATTATTAGAGGACGCTTACGCGCGTAATTATTCCATATTTGGAATTCGCATTTCCTAATATGGTAGTATGAAAATACCCTGTAAAATACCGCAGCTGTAACTTATGGCGTTACGGTGATTATCACTCTGTACTGGGAACAGAGAACCTGGTAAGGAATGTTTGCCATTTAACCCATGTGCACCTGTCTGCCAGGGAGTTGAGATGGTCAGTTAGCCAGGGTATAAAATCAAATTATTTATCTAAGTATGGTCATTTCAGTAATTTTAATTTAATTATTCTACTTTCTTCCACAGGTGCCACAGGTCTGGCTTGCAGTATGGTTGCTATGGCTACATCCATGATGCTTGTTGTCTTCAGAATCTAAATGGACATCAAGCAGATTTTAATGTGTAATTTAATCGGTATGAATAATGTTAGTGAGCATGAAGTCGTCTTCTGAGTAGATTCCTTGATTTTCATTAAAGAGTGTCAGCTTTTTTTTAATATCTACAATATTGAAATTTGTGTGCTTAGTTAAATGATTGATTAATTTACTGCATTTGAAGCACAAAGATTGTAAAATGCCCAGTTCATACAAGTGACAATATTTTTACATATCAGGAAGAAATTTGTTAATCACCCTCTAATCTATGCATAATGAAAATCAAAATGGCTGCTCTTTAGTAGTAAATCATGTGTATCTTCTTAGATCAACCCGTGACTGAATTTCGCTTAGTTATTTCATTTCTGATTTTATAAGTTGTATCTTTTTTTCAAGATATAACTATAAGTGCATGCAATCAGTATCTTTCCTTTTCATCTGCTGTTCAGTATGGATTTACTTTTTGTACAAAGCAAACTTTAAAGTGACCACCTTGTTTATGCGATCGGCAGCAGTTACAAAGCCTCAAACTGATGAGCGCCCTCTATGTCATTATAGAGATTTGTAGAGTATTAGTTCAGTAACAATATGTTCGTAATTTAAAAAAAAAACAGAATGAAGGTTTAGGTATTGACTTTTATGTGTATAAAGCAATGATTGTTCTAATAATAATTTTGTTGTAAAAACTTTTCTCACCGAGTTATGTTGATTTTATGAAATTTAACTTTGTATCAGTGGTTTCTGATTTCAGTAAATCACGGGGATATTTCATAGCCAAGTTCCTGTGTCTGCCTGTTTAGCTTGACAGGGATAAGACAGAATATTTAAAAGCACTGATATTTTGTTGAGCAAAAAAATAAATCAAAGGTTGATTTTATGAAATTTAACTTGTAGTCTAGTTTGGGTAGCAGTGGTTTCTGATTTCAGTCACTGGGATATTTCATAGCCAAGTACATCTTAACACAATGAAAGTTTACGATGCAATGTATTTTTTTGTTAGTATCAAAGCAAACTCGCATCTCAAATCATTTACAAAAATTGTTTACTCTTGGTCCAGATTTTGATATTGAACAGCATTTTTCAATGCACTTAATTTCTATCCTTGCAATGAAAAAAACAAAAGTGGAGCTTTGTATATTTGTGTATAAATGTAAATATTGTAATTTGTTAACATCTGTTAAGTATAATAAAATTGAATGTTCCACAAATGTAAGCAGTCTCATATTTCAGAACAAAGTTGACACATAAATGATGGTATTTAAATAATACTTTAATTTTGCTGAAGGGAAGATTCATACTTTTTAGTACCCGTTGGACATAGTTCGAAACGGGGACTTGCGTTTTGGGGTCTGTCAATGCGTCCATTTCTCAAAGATGCCTGGACATATTTTCTTCAAAGCTGGTATGCAGAAATGTGCACATCAATTTATTTTTATATTTGTTGACCTTTGACCTACCGGCAGCCATTTTTGTCCAAAAAACAAATCAACATTCGGACAGGGCTTGACCAATTTCATTCAAACTTGACGTCAGTTAAATTTAGTACAAAGGCAAGATATACAGGATTAAATGTTAATAAATGTTCAGTTATTTTTAATTTTCATTGAAATTTAGCCAAACAGCAGCCATTTTCGTCAAAAACTAATAAAATCACAAAATTCAAACATGTTTCTTGGACATGCCCTTCACTGATTCCATTCAAAGCTGCCATTGCCATTACTGATGATGCACATCATTGTTTTTTGTGATTCAATTCAAAATGGTGGACTGCTGGCCATTTTGTTTTTTAGGAGCATTTTGCCCATTTTACAGATTAGGTTTAAATTTGGTACAATTTGGTATTTTGTGAGATAATGGGTTAATTTTTTTTTTTCAAAGTCGGTACATCATTTATTTTGTTGACCTTCAACTGACAGCCATTAGTTGTCCCAAAAATCAACATTTGGACATGTCATTAACGGTTTCTGGGGCATGCCTTGACCAATTTCATTCAAACTTGGCTAAATAGGCGAAATACTATCCCAATATTTAAACATAATCTGACTATGGATTTATCGACAAAGTCACGATCTAATTGGTGGGAATGACCTCGCCAGGTAAGAACTCTTTGGTACAAAACCAATTTGGTGGTAAATCAAGGTTAATTTTGTGTATAAATTAATGTAAACTTGTTGGAAACTTTATGCAGTTTCTAGTATAAGATGGTTGCATGGCCAAATACATCTGGGCACGTTTGCGTTAACACACATTTATATGTACTGAGAATTCACAAAATCCTATTAGGTAGCATCACCCAAGTTTTCTACAAATTGTTTGCCTGATTCCCTTTAGGTTGGTCCTCGGCTTTTGTGGACTAAAATGCAACATGGGCACACTCTACAGACAAACTGTAGAGGGCGCTATACACACCTCTTGTTGGTATTGGTCCATACATTTTTGGTTTGACTTGCAATTATTAATTTATATAAATATTATATTCCAGTCACCACAGATACAATATATATAAAAATTGAGCCTATACCTACATCGGATTTTAATCAGATTGAGGCAAACTCTGAAGTTTAATGGATCTTATATTGCCTTCATGTCAGACATGGATTCTGAAATTTACATTTCCAGTCATTGTTATATTCACTAGAAGCCCTAATGGATATTGGAAAATCTGTCAATACAGTCAAGCACCACCTTGACTGTTTAATCTTAATCCATTCAGCCCTGTGTATTTTGACATTTACATGTAAAGGTTAAATAAATATTCACAATGTTTACATTAAAGGACAGTGGTTTTTGCACAGTGGGCATGTTTGAATTTCAAGTAAACGTGCATTTTACACAGAGTACGTTGCTACGAGTCCCATATCAAACAGGACGCCCATTTATGTTCCTCGCAATGTGCTCTCTAACAGAACTGATTTTGTATACACCAAGGGGGCAAAATGGAACCCCCCCCCCCCCACCCCCACCCCGAAATAAAGTGAAAGCAGCATGACTGCCTGTGAGGTAAATTAAGTAATAACAATTAATACGACTGTACACGCGACATTTTTACACTTGTTTTGTTCGGGGAAAACTTACAAATTTCACAACTACCAGTGTTTTTCAAGCTTTTTTTGTTGTGTTCACAGTGATTTAGCACAGCACACCTTTGTACGTCAGTGGCATACAAGATAAGGGCACACTGGTTCACAAAAAATGTACTTGGCATTACTTATAAACTTTTCTATGTAGGAAGGGGGAAGGATCTTTCCATCTGAATAGAAAATTGGGAATATGGAAATTAATCACAAAACATAACATAAATCTATCAGAAGGAAAAATTAACGACAAAACCAGAATCCCAAAAAACATCGCTGTGATAGCTTTTATTCAAAATTCGAATGAGTATCACTGAACCAACACAAAAACAATTGGATGAACAAATGACAATTATAAAATTAAGTAACCAAGTGATTATTTCTTGCACATTACCAATCTTACATAAACCTGAATTTTGATTTTAACATAAACCCTTTGAATTGTTCCCCTGCCAACTTGTGTTCATTTAACAAATTTCTTTGTAGTTTTTTGACCAAATAATATAACTTTTCCATTGCCTGCATACAGGTTGTGATTAAATTCTTTGAAAAATATGGAAATAAGTGCAGGGTTTTTTTCCAGAAAAGCAACAAAAGTTGACTTTGCCACTCAAAGGGTTATAGTTAGTAATAAACAAAAAGAGCTGCAAAATAAATTAATTCTGTTGAGCTTCTTTTGTACATGCAAGCAGAACTGGTCATGAAGAACGCTCTCATATTAAGGAGAGCATTAGTTGTGATATATTACATGTATTTCATAAAACAAGATTATACTGAAATAAACAGGCCTGTAATACCGATTTTTAATATATTAGTTATAATTGCACAAACATGGTACAGTGGGCGAGACCGAATTCAATTTTCAGATTACAATGCATTTCATCATTTTTTCTTACTCATGTGGGGCACACTTAAGAATACAATGCCAATTTTGAAGTTACCATCTTGTTAAATTTCTGTTGGAGTTTAATGCAGATTAAAAAATGAAATAAAATTTGTTTTTCAAGCAGTAGATTTACTCGCAAATAATTGTCATAATTGAATGTCAAGTAAAT